AAATATATAAAATGCTGCAATCATTTAAACCAAAAAGAAAATAAAAAACACTGAATATTCAAATATACACCCAAACTTAACATACTTAAAAAATAAACCACACGAAACATGAAGACACACGAAAGCATTTCCCTTCAGCGCCTTCTGTTTTCATTTCTTCCCATCTTACTCATCCAGCCATTATTTTTCTGAGAAGTGATCATAATTTACCCTTTAAAATATAATTAAAAGACCAAAATTATTCTTCAAGAATTCAAACAAATGGGAGAAAAATCTGACGCTGTGTGTGTGTGTGCGCGCCCGCGCGTGTGTGTGTGTGTGTGTGTGTGTGTGTGTGTGTGTGTGTGTGTGTGTGTGTGTGAACTCCCATTTAATAAAACATTTAATCCTGAACACAGCCACAGCCCCAGTTATAAGGATGTTCACATTTGTGCAAGGGCTTTATCTCAGATGTTTATTTATTTTTTTATATAATTAATTTGTATCGGGTATAGATCACGTTAAGGTTGGAAAAAAAGTTTTAAATAATTTATCTTGTCTTCTACCGCAAAAACCTGGCATTTGAACAGGAGTGTGTTGACTTTTTTTTCTTTTACTATCCGCAGTCGAGAGGTGGACGGACGGGCGTGTTGACTCGCCTGATAAGCTCGTTTGACTGATTCTGACGGGTAAAATGAGGATTGATTAACTGACTAGTGCACTCACAACTGTGAATGAGAGGCAAAGTACGGAATTTACAAGGGCAACGTGCTCTGCTGCCAGGCTATATTATGTGAAATGGCAACAGCACTACGGTAATGTATGACAAATGGACTTTGCTGACGGTGAATTGCAAGCGAGTGGGGTACACAATCACATTGTTGAACAGAATGTCTGACTAACATTTCATTAACTTTGATTGCATTGAGGCAACATACTCAGACGAATGTCATAAATGCTAATGGGTAAGTCATTATGAAATAGGGAGGTGCCGACAAGCTAGCTCAATGCACAGATAATTACAGTGCTGTTAAATTTAAATTCAATGAAATTAACTGTGACCCTGTCATGGTCACCTCGACAGCACTAAAACAAGACGTTATGTATTGTGTATATTATGATCCAAATTCTGTTGGACAGAATTATCCATCTATGCATTTTCTGCTGCGTCTGTCCCAAGGATGGGCAACTCCGGTCCTATTCAAATGAATCAGCTCTGTTGGAAGAGAGAACTTCTAAAACAAGCAGGACTGCGGCTCGCTAAGACCGTAGTTGCCTCCCCCGGCTGTGTCGTTTTTAGGGTCCCGGATAAACTGGAGCCTATCTTAGCTGATTTTGAGCAAGAGGCGGGATTCACCCTGCAATGGTTGACAACCAATCCAGTCCGTTGCAGTCGGATTTTGTCCTTTTTTGTGAATCCACCTTGTACATATTTGTCCAATTATATATATATATATACTGTATATAAATAAAAATCTTTTTTTGGACAGAGCGAGCTAAATTTCCCGCAGCACTGATTGGACAAGCAATGTAATGTGGTCATCTGCAGCCAGTGATGGCCAAGCAGGTTTGTCATAACTAAATGACATGTTGAGTCGACTGTGTCTTAACCTCCATGGCAGAGTCTCCGTCGAACCCCTGAGACTGATTCACCGAACCCTTGGGGTTCGAGCGAACCCAGGTTAAGAACCACTAGGTGGGTGCAAGGGAAGGCCCAGTGTCAAACATCAAAATCAACCAGGGGGATTGCGATAGAGCTGTTTTGGCAAATACAAGACTAGACACAAAGATACAACCTCAGATATTTTTCAAACTTTACAACATTGATGCGTTTCCTCATCAATACCTCGAAATGGGCTGCCATTTGGAATGCTTTGAATTACCCCAAATAAAATTCAGATGATTGCTTTCAAGCAGAAGCCTGAATCCTTACAGTGGTATCTGGAGCTGGTTATTATTCCCTTTTAGTTGATTAAACATACAGCACCATACTCTACTGCAGGTATGATGTTCGTTTGGTGATGCGGGGCTCGAAAGTGTGCCCAATATGCTCGCAAATGCGGCCAACTTTTCAGTATGTGCTGGTAAAAAAAAATTAATTCGGTCGCCTTAGCGCATTAGAACATGTTTATGTTCTTACGGGTACCTGGGTGTCGAGACATTTTGAAAGATGGTTGTTCACTGGGTATCTCATCAACCAAAAAGCCCCTGCCCCAACAATAAATTGTTTCAAGTTTAAGATTGTTTTCACCTGGAGTTACAGGTTTATTTCAAGTTGTATGAAATACTTCTGGCTGCTTGCTTCTTCCCAGGTGCTTTATGAGGACAGTCAAATGGTGACCCTGACAGCACCTTACATGCCAGGCTTTCTGGCCTTCAGAGAAACCCCTTTCCTCTTGGAGGCTCTGCAGCGGCTTGAAAAGGACAAGCCCACTCTTCTGCCTCAGGTGAGCTTACATCATAGAGCAGGGGTGGGCAATTCATTTTGTAAGGGGGGGCCCACATGTCTACAGTATATTATTTTTAATGTTTTTCACTGTATTGTTCACTTGCTGGTGGAGCAAATGTGTAGCGTGATTCTGCCGTTCCTCTGCATCCTTTGAGTTTAAGCTGTTTAATGACATACCATATGGAGTTTACTGTAAAACTAAAGACACAACAAAAACAATTACATGCATTGTGTTTTTAATACACAAAACATGCTTCAGTTTTAAGACATTGCTAGCCAATAATACTGAAGTCAGTGTGAATTAGCATCGACTTCAGCTGATTGATATTACTTCAAATAACGGATACTGACACACCAACGTTGTGGAAACACATCCACTCAGGAAAAATAACACAACTCAAAAGCACCCAGTCTATGAAAAACAAATCATATTTATAGCGTTCAATCACAACTTTCTTCACTTCTCATTCTAAGTGTGTACTCCATCCATGCATGCCAGAACACTGGCCCAGAGAGGCCAAAACGCACAGCAAAAGCTGGTCCTTGTATTTATTTGTTTAATGGCTATTATTTTGGTATATTCTTAATTTCTTACAAATTAATTTTCTTGTTGTCCTTTCAAGTTATATTTAAAGGTGAGATTTCAAAGATTCAAATAATTTTCTTGTCCTCAAAATTCAAAGATTCAATGGTCGAAGGACTTTTTTTTTTTGTTGCACCGCTGACATATGACATGGCATGAAATAAGTCCCAGTTCAACCCAGTGAGCCCCAAGATTTGTAAGAATAACATAAGATTAAATAAATATGATAAAGAGATAAGTGTAATGCTTAAGAATGACAATGCAAGAGGCTTGTATTTCACATGATATTTGTGACATCATTTTGTACTTGACAAAAAGAATAACACAAGAATAAAATATTCAAGATGCAGGCTATGATGATAGTATTGATTAGCTGAATTTTAGAAAGTGAATAAGTAAGATTTTTGTTATTCTTCATTGTGATTTCAATCTGAATCAAAATAATTGTGTTTATTTATTCCATAATGATGCAACCCTAACAAGTAGTAGCAGTTTGTACCACACTAAACATGGATCAGAGGAAGTAAAGGAAAGCATTGTCTGCGGAGATTAGAAAGAAATTACAGACAAGCACGTTAAAGGGAAAGCCTAAAAAGCTATCCTCATGCAGCGGGATGTTCTTGTCAGTACAGCGGAACAGTTATTCAGAAATTTAAGATCCATGGAACTGTAGCCAACCTCCTTGGGAAGTGACCGCAGGAAGAAAATTGATGACAAATTGAAGAGACGGACACTATGAATAGTACAAAAAAACCTCCAAACAATCCCCAAAGAAATTGAAGGTGAACTGCATGGTCAAGGTATATCAGAGTGAGATTGTACTATCTGAGCCGCAACTAATAGGGAAAACAAAAAAGGAGGGGGGTTGCAATATATGTAGACAAAGCACTTAAATGCAGTAAGATCGAGAGATTGACAAGCAGAATAGAAAACCTAACGGAATGTCTAACTATTGAAATACATAATAAAAAGGCATCAAATATCATCATAAGTTGCATCTATAGGACACCAGGATCATGTATTGACACGTTCAATAAAAAACTAACAGATATGCTCAGCTACTACAACGATAAGAAAACACGAATAATATGTGGTCACATGTGCAAAGACTTATTAAACCCAAATGGACACAAAAAAACAACTGACTTCATAAATACTATGTACAGCAACAGCCTTTTCCCAGTAATCCTGAAACCTAGCAGAATAACAGTTGACACGGCCACATTAATAGAGAACATATTTAAAAATAAGATTGATCATAAAATGGAAAGTGGACTTCTCATTAATGATATAAGTGACCATCTACCTGTCTTTGCAGTTTTTCATAATTATTTTGATAGAAAAACAAAGTCAACAACTCACATATCAGAAATAAGACTAAGAACCCAACGCTCCATCGATGCTTTTAAGCAAGACCTAGAAAAACAAAACTGGACCGAGGTCTACTCAAACGAAGACCCAAATACAGCGTTTGAAGTATTTCAGTCTACCATAATCTCCTTATATGATAAACATTTTCCATTAACTAAAGTCTCCAAAAAGTATAAAGACCCAAGTAAGCCATGGATAACGAAAGGCATAGAAAACGCATCTAAAAAGAAAAAAAATTTATATAAATTGTTTTTAAAATTGAGAACGAAAGAAGCAGAAACAAAATATAAGACCTATAAAAATAAACTAGTAAATATTATAAGAACCAGTAAAAGAGATCATTATCATGCACTATTAGAGCAGAATAAAAGTAATACACAAGAAATATGGAAAATACTTAATCAAGTAATCAGAAATAGTCCTAAAAAAGTGGATTATCCAGAGTATTTTATCAAATCTTTTTTTGGACAGAGCGAGCTAAATTTCCCGCAGCACTGATTGGACAAGCAATGTAATGTGGTCATCTGCAGCCAGTGATGGCCAAGCAGGTTTGTCATAACTAAATGACATGTTGAGTCGACTGTGTCTTAACCTCCATGGCAGAGTCTCCGTCGAACCCCTGAGACTGATTCACCGAACCCTTGGGGTTCGAGCGAACCCAGGTTAAGAACCACTAGGTGGGTGCAAGGGAAGGCCCAGTGTCAAACATCAAAATCAACCAGGGGGATTGCGATAGAGCTGTTTTGGCAAATACAAGACTAGACACAAAGATACAACCTCAGATATTTTTCAAACTTTACAACATTGATGCGTTTCCTCATCAATACCTCGAAATGGGCTGCCATTTGGAATGCTTTGAATTACCCCAAATAAAATTCAGATGATTGCTTTCAAGCAGAAGCCTGAATCCTTACAGTGGTATCTGGAGCTGGTTATTATTCCCTTTTAGTTGATTAAACATACAGCACCATACTCTACTGCAGGTATGATGTTCGTTTGGTGATGCGGGGCTCGAAAGTGTGCCCAATATGCTCGCAAATGCGGCCAACTTTTCAGTATGTGCTGGTAAAAAAAAATTAATTCGGTCGCCTTAGCGCATTAGAACATGTTTATGTTCTTACGGGTACCTGGGTGTCGAGACATTTTGAAAGATGGTTGTTCACTGGGTATCTCATCAACCAAAAAGCCCCTGCCCCAACAATAAATTGTTTCAAGTTTAAGATTGTTTTCACCTGGAGTTACAGGTTTATTTCAAGTTGTATGAAATACTTCTGGCTGCTTGCTTCTTCCCAGGTGCTTTATGAGGACAGTCAAATGGTGACCCTGACAGCACCTTACATGCCAGGCTTTCTGGCCTTCAGAGAAACCCCTTTCCTCTTGGAGGCTCTGCAGCGGCTTGAAAAGGACAAGCCCACTCTTCTGCCTCAGGTGAGCTTACATCATAGAGCAGGGGTGGGCAATTCATTTTGTAAGGGGGGGCCCACATGTCTACAGTATATTATTTTTAATGTTTTTCACTGTATTGTTCACTTGCTGGTGGAGCAAATGTGTAGCGTGATTCTGCCGTTCCTCTGCATCCTTTGAGTTTAAGCTGTTTAATGACATACCATATGGAGTTTACTGTAAAACTAAAGACACAACAAAAACAATTACATGCATTGTGTTTTTAATACACAAAACATGCTTCAGTTTTAAGACATTGCTAGCCAATAATACTGAAGTCAGTGTGAATTAGCATCGACTTCAGCTGATTGATATTACTTCAAATAACGGATACTGACACACCAACGTTGTGGAAACACATCCACTCAGGAAAAATAACACAACTCAAAAGCACCCAGTCTATGAAAAACAAATCATATTTATAGCGTTCAATCACAACTTTCTTCACTTCTCATTCTAAGTGTGTACTCCATCCATGCATGCCAGAACACTGGCCCAGAGAGGCCAAAACGCACAGCAAAAGCTGGTCCTTGTATTTATTTGTTTAATGGCTATTATTTTGGTATATTCTTAATTTCTTACAAATTAATTTTCTTGTTGTCCTTTCAAGTTATATTTAAAGGTGAGATTTCAAAGATTCAAATAATTTTCTTGTCCTCAAAATTCAAAGATTCAATGGTCGAAGGACTTTTTTTTTTTTTTGCACCGCTGACACATGACATGGCATGAAATAAGTCCCAGTTCAACCCAGTGAGTCCCAAGATTTGTAAAAATAACATAAGATTAAATAAATATGATAAAGAGTTAAATGTAATGCTCAAGAATGAAAATGCAAGAGGCTTGTATTTCACATGATATTTGTCACATCATTTTGTGCTTGACAAAAAGAATAACACAGGAATAAAATGTTCAAGATGCAGGCTATGATGATGGTTTTGATTAGCTGAATTTTAGGAGGTGAATAAGTACGATTTTTGTTCTTCTTCATTGTGATTTCAATCTGAATCAAAATAATTGTGTTTATTTATTCCATTATTCCAATTTTCCATGCAACCCTAACAAGCAGTAGCGTTTGTACCACACTAAACATGGATCAGAGGAAGCAAAGGAAAGCATTGTCTGCGGAGATTAGAAAGAAATTACAGACAAGCACGTTAAAGGGAAAGCCTAACAAACTATCCTCAAGCAGTGGGATGTTCTTGTAAGTACAGCGGAACAGTTATTCAGAAATTTAAGATCCATGGAACTGTAGCCAACCTCCTTGGGAAGTGACCGCAGGAAGAAAATTGATGACAAATTGAAGAGACGGACACTATGAATAGTACAAAAAAACCTCCAAACAATCCCCAAAGAAATTGAAGGTGAACTGCATGGTCAAGGTATATCAGAGTGAGATTGTACTATCTGAGCCAAAATGGACTTCATGAGATATGATCAAGAAGAAGACCGCTGTTGGAAATAAATCCTAAAAAAATACCTGCAAAGCAGTGCAGAAGTCCCAAAAAGATGTGCAAAAAAAAAAAAAAACTCTATTTTTGTCGTTTTTGTCAAGGCCTTTAACATGAATTATTTTTCAAAATATTTTGAACCACAATTTTGCCCACATGTGCAAAGAAAAATAGTACTCATATACACAAACAATAGGAGTACACTCCTTTCTCCTAGCTAGCGTGGCAATTGTAATATTTTACCATACTTACTGTAATGGTGGCTATTTTAAAAGTTTCACCATTATATGGGAAAGTGGGATTGGAGGTATAACATACCTTCCAAATAAGAACTCTTTATGAACATCAATTATTGATCATTTTCATAGTCACCATCATTTGATTATGGAAAATTATGCAAACATGCACATACACTTATGTCAAAGTGCTGATTAGAGGAAAAAAAAAACATGTTACTTTCAATAAGCTGTCTCCAATAAATGAGGTTAAGTCATATGTTTTCAGTCAAAAATAATGTCGGCTGATTTTATTAAGATGTTTAACTTAATAATCGTGATAGTCATTGATTGACCCCAAGGATAAAATGTCTTGCTGAGACGGAAATGTCATTACCATAAATACTGTAAATTGGCCACGGTCAAGATCAATTGACAGTGCTAATGTTGCAATTGTAATCTGTGTGTCCCCATTAGGTGGTGTTTGTGGATGGCAATGGTCTCTTTCATTACAGAGGTAAGAGAACATAAAGTGCAGTTTCCACACAGTTGCCCATTCCTCCAAACATATTCAACAAACACAAGTATTTCTCTCTCTCTCTCAATTTATCATAGCGAGATTCGTAATAGTGCAGAGAATACTGGAGGAGAAACGTTTACATTACTCCACCTCGCCTCTTGGTGCATCACGTCTTATTTTGGTTTGGTTAGAGAGCAAATGACAAAAAAATAAATTTAAAAAAGTGAATTAAATCAATCTTTAAATACATGACATGAAGGTGAGGGATACACTAAAATAAATTGGGAGTTCTTTGACCAAATTGGAGGTTCATGCTTTGACCCAAACACACACACAATCTACGTTTGACTACTGTATGTGGAAAATATTTATGGGACGTCTATTAGATAAGCGTGGGATGAAATGCACAAATTTGCTAGCGTTCATTAGATTTTTATGTGCCAAAAGCACACTGCAAAGTCAGCACTTTGGTGTGTTCAGTTGAGGCTCACTAGATGGAGCGGGTGGAAGGAAAAGAGACTAAGAAAAGAAAATTCTATATAAAAAAAAAAAAAAAAGAGGCAGCATGAAGCAGCAAAACAAAAACTTGGTCTGGTTTCTTGTGGCTCAGACCCCGTGGGGTCTCGTAGCTTTGTCCGGACCATAGGCAAGGAGCAGAGCCGACTTATTGCCTCAGCTTCTGCTCCTGCGAGCCGGCTTGTCACGGCTACCCTCACGCATTGTGGTGCTTTAAGAGATGAAAAACGAGAATTCAAACTAGAAGGAAGTCCACCTCCGAAAAAAAACTATTTCTGGGTTAAAGCCACTGAGACACACCTGGCTCCCAACCTGTTATCGTCAAGGCAAAAATCACGGTTAAAATACACATGTTCACCCTATTGAGACCAGTTGTTATGGTGGAAACTTTGGCCGCTTTGCGGGACGGGAAAATATCATCAGATCGGAATGAAATTTTGCACAGAACCTTGTACCATAGTATCGACAAGAATTCCGACCCGGCCCGACGAATCCGACAAACTTTTTTTTTTGCCATGAAAATGTGGACCACCCTAACATACACTTATGTCAAAGTGCTGATTAGAAAAAAAAAACATGTTACTTTCAATAAGCTGTCTCCAATAAATGAGGTTAAGTCATATGTTTTCAGTCAAAAATAATGTCGGCTGATTTTATTAAGATGTTTAACTTAATAATCGTGATAGTCATTGATTGACCCCAAGGATAAAATGTCTTGCTGAGACGGAAATGTCATTACCATAAATACTGTAAATTGGCCACGGTCAAGATCAATTGACAGTGCTAATGTTGCAATTGTAATCTGTGTGTCCCCATTAGGTGGTGTTTGTGGATGGCAATGGTCTCTTTCATTACAGAGGTAAGAGAACATAAAGTGCAGTTTCCACCCAGTTTCCCATTCCTCCAAACATATTCAACAAACACATCTCTCTCTCTCTCTCTCTCAATTTATCATAGCGAGATTCGTAATAGTGCAGAGAGTTAATACTGGAGGAGAAACGTCTACATGACTCCACCTCGCCTCTTGGTGCATATCACGTCTTATTTTGGTTTGGTTAGAGGGCAAATGACAAAAAAATAAATTTAAAAAAGTGAATTAAATCAATCTTTAAATACATGACATGAAGGTGAGGGATACACTAAAATAAATTGGGAGTTCTTTGACCAAATTGGAGGTTCATGCTTTGACCCAAACACACACACACAATCTACGTTTGACTACTGTATGTGGAAAATATTTATGGGACGTCTATTAGATAAGCGTGGGATGAAATGCACAAATTTGCTAGCGTTCATTAGATTTTTATGTGCCAAAAGCACACTGCAAAGTCAGCACTTTGGTGTGTTCAGTTGAGGCTCACGAGATGGAGCGGGTGGAAGGAAAAGAGACTATGAAAAGAAAATTCTATATTAAAAAAAAAAAAAAAGAGGCAGCATGAAGCAGCAAAACAAAAACTTGGTCTGGTTTCTTGTGGCTCAGACCCCGTGGGGTCTCGTAGCTTTGTCCGGACCATAGGCAAGGAGCAGAGCCGACTTATTGCCTCAGCTTCTGCTCCTGCGAGCCGGCTTGTCACGGCTACCCTCACGCATTGTGGTGCTTTAAGAGATGAAAAACGAGAATTCAAACTAGAAGGAAGTCCACCTCCGAAAAAAAACTATTTCTGGGTTAAAGCCACTGAGACACACCTGGCTCCCAACCTGTTATCGTCAAGGCAAAAATACACTATATACAGTACACACGTTTTGTGTTTTACATCAACATTGAACCATATTTACAAGATGTACCATGAATGAAATAGTGCGACAGTGATTCCTCGAGCGGCACGCTAACTGAATGGAGAGCTCGTTCTCATTAATTTGGCCGCCGTTCCAAGTCAATGGCTGGTCTTTTTCAGTCTGCGCCTTCCAAAACTCTCTGGCGGGTACCCAAAGCCTCCATCCCCAAGGCAGGAGCCACAAGTGTCGGGCCAGGGGAGCAGCGAGACTCCGCTCCGCGGCTGGAGACCTTTTATTTTAGTGAATGGGACCCATGTAACGTGTGCGATCGTGAAAAATGTTACCCAAGGCTGAAATATCTATTCGTACATATAAAATTTTATACAGTCATACCTCGGTTTTCGACCATAATACGTTCCAGAAGGCTGTTCGAAAACCGATTTGTTCGAAAACTGAAACCACGCTTTAAAAAAAAAAAATCTTTATTGAATACATCTGCTCACAATGGAACGCTACACGAGGAAGCATCACTTCCTCGTGTAAGGAAGGCGAGAGGAGTCAAGTGGCGCATTCAAGTGCGCTCAGTTTGTTCAAGAACCGATTTTCGGGCGTAATCCGAGGCATAAAAAATTCGGACTTTTTGGTCGAAAACTGATTTGGTCGAAAACAGAGACGTTCGAAAACCGAGGTTTGACTGTATATGGTTCAGGAATGTTGTTTTGCGCTATTATTCTTATTGTATATGGTGGGGAAAACCAGGAAATGGGCATCTGCAGCATGTGCAGCAGGGCTCCTTGCTACATTGTTGTCTGCCAGTCAGATGACACTGACGGCATAGCCCCATTCGGCCGGCATTTTGAAACCACTAACAAGATGGTTTTGGAAATGAAGCCATTGTAAACGCTTCGCCTCCAAAAAGTCAAATTGAAAAGCAAGCATTCTGAGCCAAGCAAGGCTGTTTCAGTGAGAAAAAAGTGCAGATTTGGTTCCTCTCAGATTGAGCAGTTCAATATGTGGGCATAATTTACGGCTCACAACATCCCTAAATTGTAGTTGTTTGTTTCAATTTCTTTAAATAATTTCATTAAAATGCTGTTAACATTCTCACAAGTACTAGATTTGTTTTAGTGTGTTTCCAAACCCCCATCTAACGTCCGCTCTTGTTTGAAATCGGATGATGTCATTATCTTCGGGTTACCTTCTTTGGAACCAATGGACTTTACTGGTGTATTTGAGTATTTACTGTTGTTCACATCATGCATTATTGATGTATATTTTTGATCTGCTGTCACTGTGTGGATCATGCAGAATTTGGACTGGCATGTCACGTGGGAGTGCTGTCAGGACTGCCGTGTGTGGGTGTTGCCAAGAACCTGCTCCAGGTCCAGGGTGTGTTCAAAAATGAAGAACATCAGTCTCAGGTAAAGTCTTCTATTTCCTGACAAATTTACACTGGATTCTTTTCATGATGCAGCAATTTGTAATTGTGTGGTCGACGAACCTTGCATAGGAAACTTACGGACAGTTATTCTCTTCTGGCTAATTTTCTTTTTTTTTTTTTTGTCCTTTTTTTATTCGTTAGTATTAATGATTATTTCTCTGTTATTGCTGGCAGTTGTAAAAATAAAATCATGCTATTCTCTTGTGACCACCTTTTTTATTTTGCTCTGAACTTTTAGTTTAAAAAAAAAAAAAAGAAATACGGTATGTCAGAAAGGGACAAAGGACAGAATCAACCATTGCAAGCAAAGCGCGGTTAATTTTTGCTGTAAATGGGAAAGATTTGGATTTCAAATCAAAAGACAAAGAAGAGATCAACAGTTGAGCTTTTTTAAAAAAATCTTATCCACAATTTAGAAGATGGTGTTATGTTTATGAAAGAACACATTTTTAATTAAATGAGCAAAAGTATTAGAACTATTCTTGCTGATCATGATCATAGCCTTTCCATGACTTTGATAAATGCTCTCATTGGTCCATGAAAGCTTCTCCTTGTTCATGAGTGGTTTACATCTACTGCTGCATGCAGTATTAAGTCGAATGTAAACAGTAATTTGGGACTACACTTTTGCCCTTTGAAGGTTGTTGCTGATGTCACAAAAACCATGTCTTTCTTTACAGCTCTCACAGTTAGGGTCGTCCCGATCAGGCTTTTAAGATGCTGATACCAATTCGATCATCCATACATGTGATTGGCCAATACCGATACGGATTTCGGTGTAAAGTTTCCAATTTTAGAGCTACAACGAGTAAATTTTCTTCAATAGTGATTTAATCTGTTGATTTAAAAAAAAATTCTAACCCTTTGACTGTTCAAAAGCAGGACATTGCCTCAAATTGATCATGTAGAAAATGCACAAATAAATTGCGATTCAGTTCTTGCTATTTTGGTCTAGAACATGTCTGGAACTGGTTTTGCGATGAGAATGAAACCAAATTACGAAATGGAAAAGTGAGGATGAAGTGGTTCAGAAAATGGATGGATGGCTGCATGGAATGAAAATATTCCATATCACACATCACAGGGCAAATCAAAATGGAATTTCATTTGATTTTAAAGAGGTTGCACATTCCTGTTACTGATCCTGCTCGAGCAGGGGGCCCCAAGTCCGGTCTTCAAGACTGCCGATGAAGCTTATTTTAGATGTTTCCCTTCTCCAGCACACCTGATTCAAATGATCAGCTCATTAGCAAGCTCGGAGAAGCCTGATAATAATCCTGATCATTTGAATGTGTGAGAAGAGGGGAGGCATCTAAAACAGGCTGGATCGGGACTCTGAAGGACCGGACTTAGGCACACCTGACAGCGACCTCCACCCATTGTGAAACTCTTTGGGGTGATTGAAGGTTTCCAACCGCTGAGCAGAGCGCAACGAAACCGAATGCGAATGCTAGTCCGCTGCTAGCAGTGACTTTCCCATCGAAGGCAAAGGCAGTGCATGTACATTGAAAATAAGTCAAAGCTTTTTTTTTTTTTTTAATTTTATTTTATTATTTTTTTTACCAGAATGTCAGTCCTTGTCATAAGATTTTTTGTTCTATGAAAAGTGGCCGATCGTGGTCGGTGGCCAAATGATCGAAGCACCACTTCTCACAGTGTTTGTCTTCTGCTGCTGCAGTCTTCCTTGATCTTTCAGTTTATGGCTGTGAGTACCCCAATGATTTCTTTCTCGTTCACAACATTGCAAGTGTGTATTTTTTTTCACATTTTATTGGCTACAACTCATGTTAATGCAAACGTTCTAATTGATTTTACATCTCAGCTTGACAATTGCTTTTGTACAACTAGGATGAGTGCAGGATCACAGGATCAACCCACACATCTGTCACGGTGCATAGTTTTAATTTAATGGAAGTTGTATTTCAAATGCAGATGTAAATACCTGGAAATGATCTCTTGTTTCCTTTTCATCTACATTTTTTGAGTCTGCACCAAAAATAAAGGAATTAGGCCACCGTGTTACAATACTTTGGTCGCAGTGTGTGTGTGTGCATGCGTGTGTGCGTACGTGCGTGCGTGTGTGTTCCGACGTGGGAAAGATTAAATACGATTTCATAAATATGCAAATTGGGCCTCAATGACTTGCTGAGTGTCCAAAGACATCAATTCACCCAATAAGCAGGCATCTCATGCAGACATGTACAAAATCAAAAGAGGCAATCATGTAGTTAGTTGTCGGATTCTGCTGAAATCATCTGGCGACTGCTGGATGAGGCCAGTGAACTAATAATACATTCTACTGCAAGCATGCATTCACTGTTTATTATTTTTTCTGAATTCTATAGTAGAGTAAGTAGAACATCATTATAGGTTCAGTACAGTGAATGTATTCATACACTTAAATTATTGATTCACATCATTTGTATTTCTATTAATGTGTCAGATGTGGAAGGCTCCATCTAACATATTATGGAAATATGATGTAAGAGAAATTGAGTATACTATATTCAAGGAGAGTAGAAATATATTCAGCATTTGACTATGCAACCAAATGTTCCAATCTTGTTATTCCTCTGTTCATCCATCCTTTTGTCCACTTTTGCGGTTCAGTCCAAATTGATTTGCAATCCTTTTGCCTTGTCTCTGCTGTCTGAGTTTACTTTTTTTTCTTTTTAACCCTCTGTCTAATTTGGACACAAAACATTGAAAAAAAAAACAATTGGAAAGTGTGTTCGGCTTTTTCAAAATTTTTACTCCCAATTTACAATGCATGCTTACGGATGGGCACCTGCTGATTGTAATTTTTGTGCCTTTTTTTCAGTATTTCTTTTCTATATTATTTTCCTTTGATGAGGAGCCAACCCATGTTTTTTTTTAGTGGAAAAAAATGTTGGCATAGCTAATTCAAGAATTTTTAGGGTTAAAAAAAATCAATTGCAATGCAAGTGAATTGGCATCGGTTATTCAGAGATTTGTGCAATTTGCGAGCAGGCCCTTTCCTGCTTGAATAGCTTGGGTCCACTGTATTACTTAAGGCAAACCTTAAGATTTAACAAAGTCTTGCAAAACATTGTGTCTGAGGTTAAAGTTATGACTCCCTAATGCCAAACTTGCTTTGTGGAGTAATGGTGGCGATAACAACCCATTGGCAGCAAAGTCTGTTTTATTGATCCTTCCAGCTTCCCAAAGACATCATTTCTGCCTCTGCTTTGGCCATGATGATAGTTGCAGCTAAGAGCAAATGCCCAAGATTGGAAATTTAGGATGTTTCAGGATGCTTGCATTTATGGCTGATCTTGTCTTTTTCTGCAAGTATGTTGGAAGCTAATGATTAAACTAGCCTATTGCGCTCGTTACAGGTAACAAAAGGCCACTCTGTACATGTATTCAGATGGTGAGAAGCATTTACCTGGATGTGTTTTGTTTTACTTTTTATAGTGTACCTGTAGATCAGCGGTGTCAAACCCATTTCACATTGTGGGCCGTATACAGTCTCGATAGATGTCAAGTCGGCCGGACCATTAAAATTATACCATACTCTGCTATAAATAACCAAAATATCATGTCTTTCCTTTGTTTTGGTATAGTGAAGCACAAGAACATGAGGAAAATGTTGAAATTTAATAAACACATCTTTTATAAAACATGTCATGAAACACCTTAGATTCATATTTTTGCCATATTATTTTGTTTTAGATATTTGTTGTATCACATTTATAAGCATCACGTAGATTACATCAAAAACAGAAAATTTGGGGAAAATCATATTTTAAACCTGCAGTATCAAATTTGATACAGATGATTTAATGTACTATAAAGAATGAGTTACAGAATGAAACTGCATCTATCAAATATGATACGAATGGCATTATAGGGTTAAACATGTCCAGATGAGATGAAGGTATTTCTCTGTGGTTTGTATAAATGACTTAACTCACCTCACCATATAAAATGGTTTAGCTTTATCCTTGGTTTGTAAAGCATCATCATGTTGTAAATGAAAGTGTTTTACTAAAAAACAAATTCAAATATTAATGAAGATATCCCCGACGTCAAGACCAAACCCCAAGGCCATTCTAGCACAATTTTTCTCATTTTAGAAGCGAGATGTTGGTATTGAAAAGTTCATGCATCAAAAAGAACCAGAGAATAAAGAAAACAAATCAGTCATACCTTTCATAAAGTAACTGTTTTTTAAAATTCTTAATTATGTTTCTGACCTCCAGTATACGTGTTTTTTTTTTCTTTCATAGATATCAGCACTGCAGAAAGGAGGAGACAGCTTTCCCCTCAGAGCAAACTCTGGCAAAGTGCTTGGAAAGGTAAATCGAATTTAATTTTGTGTGCATTGCAACTGATCCCACTGATTGTACAAACGTACAAAACTTTTAACAAGTAATTGGTATTGAAAAATATAGTCATGCATTTTAAGATTTAACAAGAGTTATAAAGAAGGGAATTTTTAAACCACTTACACGTGTTTATAACATCTAAATTTAATCCCTGCCGACACTTCACAAACTAAGGAGAAATCAGTGTGCCCCCTAGCGGATAATCCATGAATTGCATTTTATTAAAAATATTAATTCGGTGTCTTTTATGCATTTTTTTCACTTTTAAATTATCCTGCAGGCCTGATCGAACTTCCTCGGGGTCGGTTTGGGGC